TTGCTCCGTGTTGTAGGCCTCCATCCATTGCACACTGTTAAACTCGCAGAATACCTTCACAGGTCTGCAAAGCCTAGAAGCGATGCAGGCGTTATAGATGCAGCCGATCATGGGCCGTTCCAGCCAGTCTCGTCTCCAATTATCCTGGCCAGGACTTCGTTGATCAGCCTCCTGATGGAAAGCGGTTCCATCACCCTGCTAGTGTACCTCAGGTGTAAGAAACCGTCGCAATCCGTCTTCTACCTCTTCCAAGATCTTCGGCCAGTCGGTAGCGTGGTCATCTGCCCTGGAGCATCGAAGCTGCTACTGGGGTCTTGCGCCTCGAAGATCACAATCACAGGACACGAGTTGTGCCAGATGGGATAGTGAATTTTCAAAGCACCACGGGAGGGAAGGCATGACGGGGAGAGAAGAAAATAAAGACAAGGAAGGGTAAGACCAAAAAGGGTGGAAGAGGGAAATGGGAAAAATCATTGGAAAAAGATGGTCGTGACCTAGTGATCCATTTTTTTGAGAAGGGTTAGGCACGTGCAGGTCGCCTGCTGGTGGCGGCGCCCGTTCTTCCTCCGTCCCTGTTCTTCACGCCTCTCTTTTTGCCTCTCCCGGTCTAAGTAAGTGTCGATTGCGCTGAGTTTTCTGATGAAAGGAGGATGAGAGGAGGAGGAGTCAGTTCCCTAATCATCATCACTGATTGCAGAGAAGGTGGGAGCGGGGAGGGAAACGTTCGGTTCCCCGTTGCCTGCATTGGTGCGGATCGATGTTCCTCTGTAATTAGGTTGGTGGTATGCACGCCAAGGAGGTGAGTACCGTCGCTTGCTTGTTGCAGTCAGGTAATCACCACCGCGGGTTGCAGATGAGCAGAAGCAAACGAAGAGGGAGGTGGAGGAGGGGGAGGGGGAGGGGGAGGAGGAGGAGGAGGCAGCATATGAGGAGGAGGGTGAGGAGGAGTATCGAACACCGGTGCTACCCTGCGGAATTTGAGCGTGGTTTGGCCCGGTATCTGCGCGCCCCCTCCTCTCTTTCTCGCCGCTGCTCGCGGAGAGTTGAGCGGAAACCTCGTTAGTTTTTCGAGGATCCATGTAGGGAGCATAATTCGTGCGAGTAACGCAGGGATCGGATAGCTCCATACGCAATCTTCCTTCAGCAAACCCTCCGTGTCGAGTGTTGCGTCCCTCTCAAGTTCCTTGACATATCCCATCATCAGATCTCTGAGAAAGTGAAAGGTAATGGCGGCAAGCACCCCGTCCCTCAATGTGGTCCTGAGGTAGTGGATCAACATCGATGTCCTGATTTTGATCGAGGACATGTCCGGGAACAGTACGTCCGTGTGCGCAGGTAGATACCAGAGGGCATGGTCAAACCATAGTGGGGTGTCTCCTCAATCCCTGTTTTTCTCCCTCTTGCATTTGCACTTGAGATAGGGTCTCCCTACGGTCCATATCTTCCTCAAGTTCCTGAGGTCTAGCCTGTCCTCTTGTCTAATAGCTTTCTGCCACATCCCCGAGCTCGTTTCCCCACATTTATATGGATCTAATGCGCGCTTGGGTGGGAATTTAAGGTCATGGGGGTCCAGTGGGGGACCCTCCCGGAGAACTTCAGCCTTCCTTTCAGTAATTGCGCCCTACACTCCTTCACCTGTGCATTTGTGGCATTCCGCAGGAATTTGAGTGCCCCGATGGAGATTGGTGCGATGTGGTTAAAGGTCTCCATCTTCCAAATCACATGTCGGAAGCATGTGGATGTGTGTTCTACCCAATACGTGGACGCCAAGGGAGCGGACACCATATATTGGTCCCGTTCAAAGGCATTAGCACCCGTCCTATTGGTTGTGAGGGGGGAATCCTTGATAGTGGCCATAATGGCGACGATCGCCTGTTCCATCTCCTCCCTCTCCTCCGCCTCGATGGCAAGATCATCGTATTTTGTTACTTGGTTGCCTCTTGCTGTAGGCAAACCGTCTATCTGGGTTTCGAGGACTCGTCCTTCTAGGTGCGAGTCATCCACACCCCAGATCCTCAGGAGGATCTGTTCAACCCTGGCAGATCTTCTCCCCAGTTCCCTACATTCCCTAGCACACTCCTTCTTTCTCAACTTAAGCAGCTCGCATAAGATTCTCAGTTCATCGTCGAATTCTTCCCTACTCCGATCCCACACTCCCACGAGAACAACGAGGTCACTAAAACAAAGCATTTTAAAGAAATGGGGGAAGCGCCCGGTATCCCATGCACTTTTTATCGCATCCATGACCCCCAGGTGAACGCAAGTCATTAATGCTTGTGTGGGTTTCGCGGGTGAGGTGCATTCTTCCAGCTTCGGGAAGCGATGTGTTAACTTATTTCACCATCCGCCCGCGAACGATTCCTTGGGAGGCCTCTGCAAATGCGCAAAAAAAGGAACGAAGAAAAGCACAACAAAAAGGGGAAACAAGAAGAAAAGAAAAAGAGAAGAAGGGAAAAGAAGATAAGGGAGAAAATAATAAGGAAGAACCGAAAAGAAAAGGGAACAATAAGGAACTGGGCGATGATGTAGATAGGGGTGGTTACAGAAGAGAACGAAAATCAGGAAGAGGCACAGAGGAAGATGAATCCTCTCCGAAGGAGGGTGGTCCCCCGTAAGCCGAAGGTGACAGGATAATGATGACAGGGGGGGTATAGAAAAAAGTGCAGGGATCAGGAATGGGGGAAGACAAAACCACAAGCGAGGACAACAAATATTCGTCAAAGAAGGTCCCCAGACTCCCCACCAGCTGTCCCCAAGATCACATCTCCTCTCATCACGGCTCTTCGCAATTCACAACCCTTTTCTTTTCAACATTATCCAGCCATCCCCTCACCAGTTGTGTTGCACGCTGGCCGCTACCGGGTTCGGCCCAGGCCGCAGCCGGCGGCCTAGGCCGGGACCCCCCCGGCCGCGGCCGGTCGGCCGAGTTTTTTCGGCCTTGGCCTCGGCCAATCTGGGGGGTGGTTTTCGAAGCGGAGAGCGGGTTTGGGGTGGGGGGGTGGGGGGCCACCCCCTCAAAGTGACAGGGCGTCAAAAAAATGAAAAACGGGGGGGGTCCTGCACATGGCCCTGGAAGGGTGGGCCGCGAAAATTCGTGCGTCCCCCGCGTGCAGGTTCTTCGATGCGGGGTCGCAGGGGAGAGGGTCTGGAACACTCGAATTTTCTTTTTTAAAAATTTTGACCTGTGCGGGGGCGGCCCAACGTGGGTTGGATGAGGGCCTGCTTGGGGCGGCCTGTGCGGCCAGGTCGGGTCGAAGCAGGATGGGGCTGCAGATGGCAGACCCCAGGCGGCTCAGGGCCTCAAGCACTGAAAGGCAGGCTTCAGTTTCATTCGTGAGGGTGATGACAGTTCGTGACATATTTTGAAACAACACATTCATGGCAATCATAAGTCAGACCCTTGTTGGCATACCAAAGTCAAAACACATTCAAAATCAATCACAATGCGGCGAACCATAAGTTTCAAACAATGTTAACAGGCAAGTGTGTCATAGTGTGTGTTCACTCATCAGACTAATGGACATTTTTGTAAGAACACATTCTTTAGCACATCATCCCTATGTCGCTTCTAAAATTAACAACACATTCATAATGGAGGCATCCATGACATGCAGGTGCGTGGCATCGGAGAAGCACATAATTTGCAACAATCACGACAACAAACCACAAACCACTCACCAAACTTTAGCGACTCAGATGCAAGACCAATGTTGGTGGAGGAACACAAACAAGAGCAAATATATGACAAAGCATTTCAATGGAAATGCGTATGTACAAGGCTGAAGCCAAAAACTGGACTCGTCGTCTCTACTGTGCAACCAAGTAGCAAAAAAAAACTAGACCCTATGTACAAGGCTGAAGCAAAAAACTAGACCCGTCGTCTCTACTGTACAACCGAGCAAAAAAAAAAAAAAAAAAAAAAAAAAACCCTAATGTCCACATACTGTCTTCGTCTCCGTGGAATAACATTGACATAAATATGCAACAACCCTGCCGACAGAGCGTCCAGGCTATACAGCCACGCAAAAAACAAAAAAAAACTAATGAAAAAAATAAATAAAAATACCACGGACGTCGTCATCTCCCTCCAGAGCGCGTGCGGCCTCTCCCGGAGGACGGGCGGCCATGCGGTCCTCCCCGGCGCCCTCCCCTCCCTCCGGCACCTGTGCCCCGGGCCCCGCTGAGGTATGCCGCCTGTGCTGTAGCGGCTGCCGCGGCCACCTGTACCCTGTGTCTGCGGGGCGCAGTCTCGATCGGCTCACACTTTTTGTCTGCGTCCTCGTCCTCCGCCCCCCGTGCAGCCATCCCATCTCTCTCTCCCTCTGAATCGCGTCCAATGCTGCCCGACCAGCAGCGACCCCTGCCGCGAGTCGAGCCTCAACCTCCGAGAGGCCATACTGTCGTCTCGTCCCGGGACGCATCAACAACCCCTCCTCGCCCAATGTGAACTACTCTCCCCGCAGCATGTCCGTGGATGTCCCTGCGGCCTCGAGGACCAATGATCTCCTCGTCTCCGCTCGTGACAAACCGAGCATGCGGCCTGCCATCTGCAGACTCGGACGTTCGGACCCACCCTCCACAGCCTGCGTCTGAACTGGCGTACGTCTCGTGAAAACGCCCCACCCAGCGTCGTAATCCGCCCGCAACCGGTCCCCCACCCGACGAACAGCTAACCATTCGCCACCCACACCACCTCGGACAGTCGGCGAGGATCCGCCACTGTGCGCAACTCCGGATGCCGCCGTCCGGTCCCCGGTGTAGACCCTGCCCTCCGGAGTCCGTGCGGGCGGTGGAGGCATCGATCCTGCACTATCTCTGCCGCCGTCGCAGCGTCTGTCGGACCCCACCTCACCCGCTCCGGACTCCCTCCCTCTCACGCCACTGAGCGACGAACCCGACCAGTGAGGGCTCTTCACCACGAATGGCGGCGGTGAATATACCCTCCCAGGGGCCCACCTCTTGCCGCTCTTGCGGCTCATGTGTGCGAAAGGGTCATCCGTCAACGCTTGCGCCAAAGCGTCGGCGTCAAAGAAAGTGTGCGCTGTGTCGTCAGGGCGCAAGGGAGGTATTGTGGGGTCCCTCAACACCAAGGGGAGCCTATACACATCGTCCTCGGGACCGTGGTCGTCGTCATCATCTCCGTCCGATCCATCGTCTCCACCGACACCCTAGGTATCCCCATCTCCACCGGGTCCACCCTCTCCTCTGCCACACACGGCGATACCCTGTCCCTCATCACCCGCGGTCTCGCTGTCGCCATACCCCCCACTAGGGGACCCACCGCCCATGACAACATCCTGCCCCTCATGAAGTACACCCGCTCAGTCGTCGGGTCGCTACTCACCGGCGTGTCATCGTCGTCTGTCCACTCGTCGTCGATGTCGTCGTCTGCCGCAATAGCGTCCACATCATCCCCACCCTCTGGCCACGGTCGCACCTCCGTCGCCCTGATGCCGAACACGTCCCGAACCGAATGGGCTCTGGACGGTCGGCTGTGCTGGAAAGCGACAATCTGCCGCTCGATCTCCACCTCCGGAACACAGCCGGCAGGTCGCGCTCCCCACACCTCGGGCTCCACATCTCCGTCCTCATCCTCGTCCTCTGCCGCCATCCCCCCCCGACGGGTCCCCATAACCCATGGCAACACATAGCCACCACCCTGCCGTGCGCACGAGGCCAGTTTGAGATTGGTGGCAATCTCCACCAACTGTGCAAGCTTGGCAAACCCAAGCTTGCAGCGCCTCGTCGTGTTGATGCGCTCGTGCTACGCCCAGTTCCTCTCCGCTGGAGAGGCAGACGTCCACAAGTGCATGACACGGATGGCGATGGTGCGCAGCTCCGGGTGGGCACGTCCGTGCTCAAACCACCACGCTGCACATCGCTCGGTCTCACTGTCCCCCCTGCAATCCTCCTCCTCAAGATCGAAGAGGTCACCTCCCCAATCCCCTCGCCTCGAATGGAACGCCCTCATCTGGTCCCTCACGGTCTTGTACAATCTGCCGACTGGATCGCCGCCGATCTGCGCCAGGAGAAATCTGTCGCACTCCACGACGACACATCGGTCGTCGGTGGTCATCTCCAACGAATGGTAATACGTGAGGGATCGTCGACGAGGGTTGAGGAGGTGGGCCGCGGCATGTGCGGGCTCTAGCATGTGGAGGTTGCGGATGGCAACCTCACGCACGCACGGCTCGATCATGTCCTTCGGCACGTCCACCCTCCTCATCAACTGCAACACATTCTGATTCCACTCGTAAACGACTGACATCATCATCCACCCCCTATCCATCCTGCGCAACAGCTGGTGGACGGGCGACATGATAAGGATGGTGTACTGGACACACTGTCAAAACTCCCCGTCCCGGATCTGCTGCTGCACCCGTTGCGCCTGAGATACATGCCTGCGCTCCCACGGGATGCGTGCCCAAGCATCCTCGTGCAACATGCTCTCCAACGCGTCTCGTCGGCCTTTGCGACACGTCAGCATCAGGAAAACCGATGCGAACCGTGTCTCAGCGGGCTCGACGAGCTGAACGCGAGGGCTCACCTTCCTAAACAGGGCGTGACCAGCACCGTGCGATTTAATAAATCGCACAACATCAAGTTGCAGACATTGGTGGAACAGGGGAGCCAAGTAATCCTCCTAATGTCGGGCTCGGGGTCAGTGGCGATTCCGCATGTTCTTGCCGTATAGTTACTGGCGGAGTCAGTGCGGAAGCCGATCACATCCTTTGCAGGAAAGGACAAGATGATGGCCCGCCACCTACAGTACACGATGTCTCCGGTGTCTCAGACCCACCGGCTGCGTGCGACGGTGGCATATAGCGGGGCGCCATTGGCGCCCCCGACGAGGAAGTTCACAAGCGGCTTGCTGCTGTGCGACTTCCTCCCGTCGGAGACCATGGTGGCACCGCTGTGCCGGAAAGCGGCGCGCACCTCACTCACCATTGTCGCCACCTTCGCCCTCTGCGAAGGGATACCGGCGCCTGCTGTGACGCTGAAGGTGGGAAACCGGAACTGGATACTTTGAGGCACTCTCTCCGCCGTCTGCCGCACCTTTTGGAGCTCCGGACCACAGAAGGCGTTGAATGGCAACCCGTTCACGTAGATCCACTGCAGCCACGCGTCTGTGAACGCCGCCAACTTCTCCTTGGAGTACATCTCATCAATCGTGGTCTGCCGAGCCCTCTTCTCCCTGCCTGTGTCGCGCACCTCGACGACAGCCTGCCCCACTGTCCTCTTCTCCCCCCTCGCGCGCTCCAACTCAGGTCGTGGCGCCCTAGGAGCTGGACTCGCTCGACCGACGTCTCTCGACGTCATCACCACCTCCTCCCCTGGAAGGTCAGGCTCTCCGACTCCCTCAACTACCTCGTCTGCCACCCCCCCTCCCTAGCCCCACACTCGCGGCCCTCCTCATCGAGGGCATCCTGAATCTCGTCCCTCTCTGCGTCGTCCATCCGCAGTCGCTGGCCACCCGTGGGTGCTCTCGTGTCCCGTATGCAGTCGTCTGCCATCCACCTCTGCACCCGCTGAGCATTGGATGGCACGAATGTGAAGTCCGTGCCGTTGGAGAGTTCCGCGAGAACTCTCATCCCCCCAGCCTTGCAGAACTTCGCCTGCGTGAAATGGCACGCAGCCTTCAACGACCCCCCCTGAAACAAGTGGCCGCATAAGTTGCAACGCAACTTTTGGTCCCCATGCATCTTCGATTGGTCTCCGACGTACTGCCCCGCGGTGACGAAGTTCCAAACAATGTTCCCTTGCCTCAACTTCGCCATTTCCTTCTCGGACAGTAGGTTGAATTGGGCACCCCCAGACCCCCCGCACCGTTGCTTCCTACACCCCCCGTCATCGACCCCCCACTCGGATCCAACAAGTCGCGGTTTTAATCGTCGATGTCGTCTGACCTTGCTGCACTGTCGATGCAGTCTCCGACGTCCCCGCGGACGATGTTGCCGCGTCCCCCCGAGGTCGTGCACGCCTGTGGCCCCCGCGCTCCCCGGCTGGTCGGCCGCAAGCACAGCCGAAAGTCATGCCGGCCGTGTGCGGCCCAGGCCGGCCAAGATCGGCCGCGGCCAGGCACTAAATTGGCCGCGCGCTTAAAAAGTACGCGCGCGGCGATGGCGAAGGCCGTCAGGAGGCCGCTGGACCACGCCGGGGCGCTGTCCCGCGTGGTTGCGCGACGCGCGGCGCTGCCAGGTACGCACCGAGAAGAAGAAGAAGAAGAAGAAGAAGAAGAAGAAGAAGAAGAAGAAGATCTCTCTCTCTCTCTCTATCTATCTATCTATCTATTTATCTATCTATCTTTCTCTCTCTCTCTCTCTCTCTCTCTCTCTCTCTCTCTCTCTCTCTCTCTC